TATCGTGATACAACTCGTTTTAGTATAAATCTACTAGCGGTCTATCGCGAATGACGTCTCCTTATTGGCTACGCTACTCACTATCTATTCTAATATAGAAAGTGAGTAGCCCAGCAGTGTGCGGTTGTTAACAAGATGGCAGCCGCTTCTTTGCGTTTTCCAAGTGTCTGTGAAGAGGATAAAGATAGAGTTTTGAACGGCTAGTAGATTTATACTACAACAATTTGATTAATCGCTCTCGATTTCTGTGTGATAGTTAACTCGGGCTGCGTCCTCGTCAACTATGACGCGATAAGTCTCCACTTCATAATGTAATTGTTAATAAGAACGTTACAAGATCACATTCCACAAACACCGACACATGCACACTGCTAAAGATCAATAAAATCTACTAATGAAAATCAAATGCTCAAAATACCAATATTGCTGTTCAGTTCACGTTTCAGTTCATACGGATCCTGGTCTTTTCCTCAGAGGGTTAATAATCGAGATTCAGTACAATCCTGGCCTGGCCAACCATTGGAGTTTTTCGACACCTTTGGCGGCGTTTGAACCAACTTTAAATTTTGTAGCAAGGACGATGAGGACACCAGAGTTAAAAGCAATGGTACAAGAACGAATGACGCTTCTGAAGGTTGTCGTCGCCTCCGACGTCTTCACGAGTTCAACTAACCAATCAGTAAATAGCAAGAATAACCGAAAGCTGTCAAATCAGTTTGTTGCCATGGCAACCGGACTTCGAAACTGCCTGGAGCAACTGATTCTGCAACAGTCATTAAAACTAGCCACGATTTGAAATTTTACAAACTCTATCATGTGAAAGGAAAATCTTTATTCCATCGATCTTAAACTTAATTTATTCCGTCACGCGTGACAGCCCAAATAAAGACCGAGAAGAACCGAGCATAGACTCTGATGATGGAAGACACGCACAAAGAATGAATTAAAATAAAAGAGAAGCACCCAGTAATTACACAGCTTTTTGTGAGTAACCTTCCTAAAGCAAACATCCCTCATAAACGCGTTACAAAGGATCACATATCGCAAACTCTTACACCTTTCGGACCGTATAACCCACCACAAACGGTCATTATAAGGTGGACCCACTGACAAGGATCTCTGCTTACGGAAGGTTTAGAATTAAATTCAAACGACAAGCGCCCAGACTTTTCCGAGTTACACGATCGAAAGTGTCCATCGTTTTATCGAAAAGCCGAAAACGGACAGAGGGTCGCTCCTCATTGAACGCTTTTCCTTTTCTATGTACCAAAGGAACTTTAATACCTATAAATATAAACGATTATTGTTCGGTGTTGTTTTAAAAACAGCCATCGGACCCAAAGCGACATTTTCCAGACAAGGCTCCTTTCCATCAATCTATTTTCACCGTAGAGTAAATCTTTCTGACAAAAGCACTCGCCCCGGCGTATCCAAAAGTACCTGTAAAACACAAACAAGACAGTCAAATGGCTGCCGAACTTGCCGANATAATTGTTTTTAGGATGCAGCACCACTGCCATCAGAGTTCAACACATCAGTTGTTGTCATGCTCCAGGGAACTGGACAGCTGTAAGTTGATGTGTCACCTATTTAGTACTCAAGGGTGTCATTAACATTTTCAGCAGGAGCCCACGGGCAACTGGTTTGAGACTACATGCAGGCAAAACCTTTTGGAACTGGACTTCTTTGTAAAAAAATGTGAACCCTAAATTGTCAAACCAGGCAGGCAATTTAATCATCCTCACAGCTGGTCAATATGCTTGGTGCCCAGCCATTAATTAAACCCCTGTGTACTACTGACAGCACCTTCATGTAATCATCATCATTGGCCCTCATTGCACCATGGGATGCATTATAAGTCCGTGACACTAGTATTGGTACATTAAAGGGGCCAGATCATGCAGTTTTAGGCAAATTCAGCTCTGACTGACTGATCATAGAATTCACTGAAATATCACAATAGGGGCTTATGACTGTAGAAGAATTAAAAAACCCTGGAAAATCCAGAAAGGGGCAGGAATGTGCAAAATTGGAGAGGATTAAAACAAATTTCATTGAAAAAACCTTGAAAACTTTCAGCCTGATTTTTTAAAAATTTCTGTTAATTTGTGTGATCGAAAGTCTCATGATCTGTACAGTAATGCTTAGAAACCATTCTTGTTTGTCATGTGGTTATGATTTTACCATGAAAAGACTGTTGCTCTGCCAAATAGTAGTTTAGAGTTCCTAAAATATTTAATTACCTAGCTAGCCCCTTTAAGCATGTTTTACACTGAAGTCTTCTTACTGGTAATGCATCAATTGATCAATACAACATCTTGATGTCATCAGGTGATCAAACTAACTGAGAATCTTACATAACCATCAGGCAAATTCCTTTGGTCAGGACTACACATACCTTATACATACTGTAGATCATTCAAACTGTCATAGCTACTACTATTTAAAACTCACTGGATGTAGGTTTCCTGCTAGTCCACTACCGTTATTGTGCACCACACATAATATAACATGTACATGTATATTGAAACAGAAAATGTTACACTGTCAGGACCACTAGTCACCAAATAGAGGTGTAGTGGCCAAATGGCTAACTGCTGGACTCCAGTCAAACAACCCAGTATCTATCCCTAGTAGGAGTTAAATTGTGTTCTTCAATGTCTTAGGCAAGCCAAGGTGCATATGACCGGTAATTGATTGAAAACCAGTAAATGAACTGGTGAGGTGTAACCCTGCCATGGGACCAGCATCCCATCCAAGGGGAGAAGAAATACTCCTAGTACTAAGGAAACTAGAGTGTGCACAAAAGTCATGTAATTCACCTAAATGCAACTATGTACCAACTAAAACAATGCATTCTTGTTTGGTAAAAATGATTATTGTGAAAGAACAGACCTGTGCAGTTTTGAAGTGCATAATCAGTCCATCAAATATTTTCGCTCACATGCAATTGGTCTACACAGGCAATATGTCATGTGACTAAATATGCCCCAGCTAAATATACATGTACAATTAAAACTGGGGAATATCTGGGTGATATTCCCCAATTTTCAGTCCACGTGTGTTACAAAAATATGTGAAGGGTAATAAACACAATTATAGCCCCATTTGCTTGGATATTTTGTCCTTAGACAACACACTGTATCTCTTCCTTGAAGGTCACAGCTTTCCCTGAGCTACGCTCTCAGAAAATTGTTCACTTTTTGGAACAGGTAATGTCTGCAGACAAAAATACGAGCATTTTTCTGTGCCAAATGGAGGCTATTGTTTAATATATTTTCTGACCGGCATAATTATGTTACATCTAGTTGTCGCATGTTTGGCATGATAATTATGTGACATCCATTTGTCTGTTTGTCCTCTGTAGTCCTGACACACAGACATACATTCAGAAATTGGAGAAAGAGAAAAGAGACAAGGCAGCTGGGCAGACACAGGATAACAGATCATTTCTGGCAAAATATGTAAGTACATTGTACCATGCACTCTGTACAGTGTCTTGTTGAAAGATTGGATTCAGTATAATACTTTTAACCTCTGTTTTTTTTAAAGATAATATTGACGAAAAGTTGTGAGCAGAGCTTGCCTTTGGTTAATTATTTAACAGTTCATGAATTAACCATTTTATTATTAATAATTAACAATTAGACCCGTAGCCCGCAAGGGCTACGGGTCAATAGCCCATTCGGCTTCGCCTCATGGACTATTGACCCGTGGCCCTTGAGGGCGAAGGGTCTAATTGTTTTAGTATCACCCAACTAGTCGGACAGAAAAGGCAATAATAAAGTTAGCACATGCAAGTTGAAGAAATATTTATTTGGGAATAAAACGAAAGAAAGCGTCACGCTCGATTGCGCAAATTTCGCTACTCGAGGACTATTACTAATAGTCCTTTAGTGGCGTAGCCAATTAAAATGCAGGATTTGGATTAGTCCACTAGTTGGGTGATACTAATACAAAATAGCACTCACCGCACATGATTCCGAGGCCAACACTGAAAAGAGCCATGTAACCGAAATAAAATGTGGTCTGGAATAAGCCGTACATTCTGAAATCAAAACACGAATGTCAATGTTTTTTTTCCTTACATTTCTTAATTCTAATTGTTAATAAATGAAGAGCCATCTTTTAATTTAAGATCAAGAAAATGTTGCCCATTTTGTTATCATACTGATGCGAGTGACACTTACTTGGTCTTGAAAAAGAAGTAGTAAAACGAGTAAAGATACACGTAACCAGCTGTTGAGGCAGCTGAGAGGAATGCTGTCCATTGCCTACAAGAAAAACAGAAGACAGGTGGAAATCTTGATACACCAACTGAACATGGCCAACTGTACACTGCACAGTGCAAATAAAGCAGATTTCGCCATCAGTGTCGTTACTTTCAATAAACTCGTCTAGAAAGGGAGGACGACTGGTTTTCACAGGATTTCAGATTTTAGATTATTGTTTTGAACTATTTACAAAAATTGTCACTTTAACAGTATTTACAGAAATTACATTAATTAAAAAGAGAAATGAAATATAACAGTAAATAACCAAAATAAAATGTGCTCAATGACCAAAGTAGCATAGGCTTTCGTGTTGGTCACTGGCACGTACAAACACAAGGCGTTTTGAACTGAACTTTTTTTACAAGAAAAACTTTCTGCTAGATGGTCAAAGCAGCCGAACAAAATTGTCCTCATAGCTGGTCAATTTGCCCAGTGCCTGGCCCTCAATGAAACCCTTGATTTTGTTTTTCAAAACATGCCATCAAAGAATACAGTGTTACTGACTATTTAATCATTTAAGTAGTATTGTTATTGTGTGACTCACCATCTGTAATCTTCAGCATTTAGAAGGAAATACGTGCACACAATGGTGACACAAACAGTTACAATGGCCAGGATAAGGAACACCAGGAACATAAAACCAAACACATAGTAAATCTTGTATGCCCAGAATGACGTGAATATGAAGTACCTGCCAGGATAAAAGAACAACAAAAACAAAACAAAACAAAGCAAAACAAAACAAAACAAAAAACAATGGTTTAGAGTCAAGGAGTAAACAGTAGAGTAACCAATCTGTGCCAGTGATGCTTACATTTCAATGAATATTGATCCAAATGGCAAGACTCCTCCAAGAATTATAATCACCAGTGGCTCCATGAACCTACCACAAAACAGAAACAAGGAAAAAGGTTTAGAATCAAACTCAAATAGTCATCTCTCCACCCCTCCCCCACTAAGAAGACTAATGGAAAGTCTACAAAATATGAAGCTAGTTGCACAGCATACAGTGTAGTTCCACAACTGCTAATACAAGCGACGAAAAAGTAAGAAAACCCCCAAAAATGAATATGCTTTTACCCTTTTTATCTGAGCATCAATTATTCATCAACCACAAACATTTTAAATAAAGAATGTTGCAAAACTAATACAATGATACAGGCTGTTATTAAGGGCTGTAACCCATAACACCTGCTACAGCTGACTATGTTTGATGGGCCCTTGATACATGCACTATGGGTGAACTTGCCTGTTGTTAATACAATTCAGCCCCTCCCCCTCTCCTCCCCCAATTCAAAAAAAAAAAAGGTTTGCCACAGATGTGAAGATTAAGGCTATTACTGAATCAAAACTTAGGACTATCCCAGCAATGACATAGTAGTTACAGTACATTAAATGTCTGCTACATCTACAGTACAGGGTTCATACTCTTTTTCAGAAAAAAGATTTCCAGGACTTTTCCAGAACTTCTCCAGGACTCAGAATGATTTTCCAGGACTGTAAAATTCACATTAACCCTTTCACTCCCAAGATCTCAAAGTTAATTCTCCTTACTGTCTGCCATACACATCATGTTTTTTTTCTCGATTTAAACAGATTTCCAGAACTTTCCAGGACCATAAGCCTTTTTCAAGGACTTTCCAGTCCTGGAAAATGCCACAATAAAAATCCAGGACTTTCCAGGTTTTCCAGGACCTGTATGAATGCTGTAACTAGGGGTAAAAAGATTCCTGGCATCTTACCACTTTTTCTCTGGTATAGGTCTTGGAACTGTGTTCACTCTACATGGCACATTTGGAGCACCATTCAGATTTCTTCCCAGCACAGTTCCCACCAGGGTCAGCGGCAGAATGACAAAGATGACAATGCTTGTTACAGCAACCTGCATGGTGTGAACAAAGAGAAAATTAAACACAAAAACAAGGAGGCAACAACACTAACAAGAACTTTGACACATTTTTTAATAGGGGCTATCTTTGAATTCAAGAACAAATAGACATTGATTCTGGACACCAACCTAAAGTTGAATACTTCCTGGGACCTGTTGCTCGAAGGTCCCAAAAATTTTCACACCCGGAAAGCCATACACCTGTAGCAAAATCTTTAACTTTATGATTACAGAGCTGTTTTATCCACATATTCCTAATATGAACAGAGGTTCAGAAATTTCAGGCGTATACACTTCCCCGTTTTTAGATACAGACGAACTAAACTTGGCTTTACGGCCTGAAAAGCTTCCAGGGCTTCCAAGAAGTGGTCCCAAGGTCAATGTCTGGTTTTATGGCACATGTGAAGGTAAAGCATTTGCAAAGGAATCGCATCGGCCATACGTGTAGGTTTGAATTCCCTCACACACTGAATTATCCTCTGGCTCCCTTTGCACTAGGTTACATGTTTTTGTAAGTTACTGCATTATGGTAACAATTTTTTCCCTCAATGTGTTTCCTTTATTTCAAAGGTACATGTACAGTATTGTACATTTCTGATTCATCTTACATGTATCTGCCCATTACTGCATACACTGTAACATGGGCTAAAAGTTGTACATGTACATAATTGGACACAATGAATATTCTTGTTACCTGTGTGTTTGAAAATGTATTAATGCTAAAAGCAGAAATATCTATAGTTAAACTTTTCCAACTCACCATTGTAGCAAATGGAATGGCTCTGGATGCGTGATAATAAATGGCGATAAAATTGATCATGAAAGCTGTTCCACAAACCAGGAGGGGGAACAACACAGCACTTAATGTCATCTGCTTTATCCACTGTCTCCCTGGAGAGTGAATTTGTCACAATTAATGCAAAGGAGATGTAGAGAATGTTTCACTTGTTGTGCTGTACCATTAATTTAATGGAAGTGTTCAACAGCAACAGTGACTTGCTCAAAGAGTGGATACATTGAAGCAATAAATCCCTAAACTGCTGTATACACTGTACATAATTATAATTATTATGGATGGATTTTATCTGTAAGATAGAGTACTGTACTTAAGGATTTATCTTACGGATACTGATACAGTAGTTACGGATTTACTATGGATCTACTCTTTGGAGAACTCAAGTCAGAGATACATGTAAATAATGACTGAAGATAATTTTGACACATTTTTGACCAAAGTGTATTTTGCCAAAACTTGATTTTGTGCTGGGCTGGTAGGAATCTTATTATGGTTACTCTTCTTTAATCTTTAGCAATGAAGAGACTAGGATTACTGGTGGTTTTGTTAAGGTTTTCCAATCATTTCATTTCACTGAATATCCCATTGCACTTATAGCTGAAACACCTGGATAAACAAAAGATGGCAAAAATCATCCTCAACAATTCTACAGATAGTTGAGCATGAAAGGTCAGAAACTATTTATTTTTAATTTATGGCATGATCAATAAATCCTTTTCAGAAAGAGGTAGCAAACAGACCTCCTTGTCTGGCATAAAGACTGCCTCCCATAAATCCATTGACAGGGGCTGTGGCTGCATAGACAAATATTGTCGTACTCAGGATGGAGCCACGCCTGCAATCAATAAAAAACAAGTTAGCATCCAGTACAATTACATGTATGTTAAAAAACTCTGTTGTGCTTATATGGGCAAATACATCTTCAGTATAAAGCCAACAGAAATGAAGAAAAAGTATGCATTGCACAAGTTAATTCAGTGTATATGACAGTGTACATGCAGAGATATCAAAAGACTTACGAGGTGTAGAGGTCTCCCATGATGGTGAAGAAGATGACACAGGCAGCCACAGAAGATAAGTGATATCCTGTACCGATCAGGCTAGTAAACAACAAACGGTGTGATGCTGGTCTGAAGACATCTCCGTGAACCTGCTTCCAGCCATATTCATCACCAAGGTCCCTCTCCTGAAGATCAAGACATACATAGATGCACATTACACAACAGGTGTCACTCAACCTACAGTACATGTACTACATGCAAGGATTCATTGCACAAAAATTGGAAACAGAACTAGTTACTGACACGTAAAAATAAATCTATGACAATCACTATCATGGAAGCATTTCCATTTTGGGATTCAGACTGATAACGTTAAGAATTTCCTTACCATGTCATCAAGCTCGTCATCTTTACTGTATCTTGCATAATCTTTCCTCAGAGTTCTCATTAAAATCATGGAGACAAGACCAACAAGGAAAATAACCATCATGAATGAGTTAAAGATTGAAAACCAGTGGATCTGAAAAGAAATGGAGGGCAACATGAATGTACATTACAATAAAAAAATTAATAACAGCAATACATGAAAAAAGGCAAATTAATGCAGCAATTGTATACTGTGGGGCCAATCAAAAACATGCTGAACAAATGCAAACACATTTAAATAATTTCGTCACAAGTAGCTGTACAAGGTGACTGAAATTGCTCAAACATGCATGTGCAATGAGCTGAAGGTCAAACAGTGCAAGGAAAGCTTTAAGCAAAAAGCTCCATTTTTCAACTACACATAGTTCGTCTTCATTATTGTGCCATTATTTCTCATGCCGGTCTCAGTCTGTACCTCTTTATGTGTAAAGTTTCTCTCATTTATTGATCTACAGTGATTGTATTGCTTTGAGATTATTTTCAATTCAAATGTACATGTATGCACTTTGCAAAATAATGTAAAGCTAAAAACTCTAATTCCAGCCAGAAGGCTGTCACATTGAAATTCTTTTTCAGTTTGTTTCAAGCCTGGTTACT